TGTGTGGCACAAGGAGGACAAAATATTCGTGCGAAAACTTGAGAGCGATCGTACCATTTAGATCGAAAGCGGAGACGACATTGAACTGATTCGACAAAAAGTGGGAAGAAACGTTCAGCATCACACTTATTTTCTTTTGAATAGAAAGTTCCCCGTTAGCTAATCGATGTGCTCAGCCTGAAATTAAAGAGTTTATCAATACTATAAGTAACCGAAAACAATCTGTGTTAACCTTTTTTTCACGCGAATGTACGATCCATGTTATCTAAAGTTGATGACATTAAATTTTGTTTTGATACTATGTGTTTTCTTTTAGCGTAATGATGTTCTCCGAAACGTGGTATACTTCCGAATCAAATAACTTTGTGTTGCCGAATTACAAACATTTTTCTATACGACGAAATTTAAAAAAAAGGGGAGGTTTTTCAATGCTTGTGGAATCATCTTTGAATTGTTGTATTATTCCCGATTTTACAAAGCTGAATGACTCTCTTCAATTATTGTCAGTACTCTTTGATGACTACGTTTTCAGTGTGCTATATCGACCTCACTCTGAAAATGTTAACATCCTGATTTTTGCACTTAGTAAACTATTAATTTATGTTAATGACAGTAATTCTTCCCTTTTCTTTGGAGGTGATTTTAATGCTGATCTCTTAAAAACATCATCTATGCATGATTAACTATTTTTTCTAGTCGAATCAAATAATTTTGAATGTGTTACTAGGAATGCAACGAGAATAACGAAAAAATTGATATACATTACTTAGCTATTACATTACAAACGGCAACCAGGAATATATTTATGCATGAGGTTTAATTAGCTGTAGCACAAGTAGTGATCATTTACTCAACTTTCTTCTTATTAACACGCACTTCTCAGCTTGCAAACAGAAATCAGAAGGATATAGAAAACGTAACATTACGTCGCAAATAATGCAGTCATTTAGGTACTTTATTGGTACCGCTAATTGATGCCCTGTCTATGCCATTGGTTTATCTGATTCAGTATACGAACATGTTTGGAAACTTTTCAAGATATTTATAACAAATACTTTTCTCATAAGTTTATAAAGCCTAGCAAGAGAACAAAGAAAGCATGGGTTTCCCATGAATTATTTAAACAATTCATATAAAAATATTTTTTATCATAAATTTCTAATATCTAAAGACAACCCTGATCTTGTAAAACTTAAGACTTACAGAAACAAACCAAGCACGTTAATGAAAAAGCTATACAAGACGATTAAAACAATCTATTTGGTAACATTAAACAAAAAAATAGCCATATAAACTTTGAGAAAGTCTTAACCGCGCCTTCATGATCACAAAGACGCGTAAGCAGAAATTGAACACTGTGGGCAAAAGCTATCTGGCACGTCACTAGCAAATACTTTTATTAAATATAACAAATAAAAAAGACCCATGCTGTTATATTAAGGAACACGCGCGTTCTGTTTTCTTAAGCCCAACTGATGAAAATGAAATAATGTTAGCATTTCGAAGCATAAAAAATTGCAGAGGAGGCGATGTAAATGACCTAATGATTGAACCAATTAAATATGTTATTCACTTATTAGCTACACCACTCACGTTTATATCCAATTTTTCAATGCCTTTGGGTGTATTCCTTAAACGTATGCAAATTGCTAAGGTTGTTTTGTTATTTAAGGGGGTGATATTAACTTGTTGGGGGAATTATAGGGCAATGCCAATACTTTCTAATTTTCCTAGGGGATTCGAAAAAGTGGTGTATAGTGAACTGTCGGCATATTTGGATAATTTTTCCTTGTTAACGAACGGTCAGAATGTCTTCAGAAAAGGAAGGTCTACTGAATCCGCTCTATTGCCACAAAAAGAAGTAATCATAAATAATATTGAGGATAAACTTCTAAGATTAGCTATATATATCGACTTTTCTAAGGCTTGTGACTTAGTTAAGCCAGCATACTTCTACGAAAGTTGCAGTGCAATGGTGCTCTGAGAAATGTACTCGATTTATTTTAGCCATATCTGGCAGAATAGAGATAATTTGTTCAAATCAACAATGCAGTTTCCACTATAAAAATAGTAAGTTAAGGGGTACTTCGAGGGAGTGTTTTAGGCCCCCCAGTTCTTTCTCTTATTTTCCAATGACATTAAACACAGTGTTCAAGATTGCACAATCATAGCTTACGCCGATGACACCACATTATTTTTGAAAGGCACTACGCGTGACGATCTCGCAAAAGGGCGAGACATAGTTGGACAGAAATAAATAGATTACGTATCAACATAACAAAAAAACAAAAAAAAGCATCTGCGTGCATGCTGTTTTGATTTAAATCGCTACTGTTTATTCTAACCCAAATATCACCATAGCCGGGGAAGCAATCGGGATATTCATTGAAAATATTAGGTGTAGTCTTTTTTGATAATTGATCACGAAATGAGCACATACAATACAGAGGATAAGAAAGCCAGAAAAGCTGTTCATATTTTATCCCGATACCGTGCAGTTTTCACCCCATTTGCTAAGTTAAACATTAATCAATGCCTCGTGCTGTCATATTATTAATATTGCCACCTCGTACGGGGTACGACTACCATTCGAAATATAAACGAAGTTCTACGTCTACAACAAAAAACTCAAAGAGTGGCAGCAAATGTGTCCTATTTTTCTCATGCAGATGCTATTTTTGCCTGATTTAATGTTGCCAGATTAACACACCTGCATTACTACCGGCTTCTAGTAACTTATAAAAGAGCACAAAAAATACACATACTTGTTTTCACAAATAGGAAATGCAAATAAAAATAGTAGCGTTTATAACACACAGCGAAGTGAAGAGTGGAGTGTACCCACCTCCTGGAAATATTATGAACTGACATCGATTACATACATACTGAGATTTTTTTTGAACAATCTGAATGTCAATACAGATTTCAGCCATAGCTAACCATTTGAAGCTTTAATGATAATACTGTCGACATTGGGAACTTCAGGCTTCCTGTATTATGTGTACTCTGTCGACTGATGTCATATGTTACATTGGAGTCTTGTGACTTTTTTTCTTTCTCTCTCTTCTGACCTTGAAGGATGTTTTCATTTTAGATTTGATTTTGTAAACTATGCCATGTACGCGCGCTGCTGTCTTGGAGCTGGGAGCTTGCCAAGCTGCACGTGTTGCTGCTTTTTGCCCTATCGACTATCTTTCCTGGGGAAAGATATATAAATTGACTGTCTGATTGATTGACTGATTGATTGAAAATTGCGACAAAGGCACTAATTTCCGCATTCCGCAGGCTGTGCTTAAGTCAGAATTTTTCCTAGCGACTCTTGAGCGGACGTTTCATGCCGAATTACATTCCTAGGGACCTCGGCTCATATTTCCCGCGGGGTACGTCGCCCGTAGCGTGACACTGTAGGAGGTACGGCTTTGCGTGTTTTTAATAATATTACGGGATCGTCGACTGGTGGGTGAATAAGTACCATATCCCGGAAAGTAGTCACTCTGATCACCCCGCATTGCTAATCGACAAAGTGAAAAACTGGAGCGACCCTATAGCGGCAGGGTGGTATTCTGGGAAACGGCTGTCGAGGTTGAGCTGAGTTTCGATTTCCTCCATCATACCGCTGCCGACCGCACCCGCGGACCTGTACCTCGTGCATCACCGCAGCGTACCTCGCTGTAGTTTTTTTTTTTTTTTTTTAAGTTGATTTACACGTGCATCTGATGCAGCAAAAGTATGACTTTCTGCTTGTGACATCATAACGTGGTAGACATTCAATACGAATGCAAACCATATCTGAACAACAAAGCTAGCCTCACTGCCGATCGGATTACGCTGCTTTTCGTACCAACTCAATGTGTGTTTTTGCTTTTCGACTTTGATACAAGTTGGACGAGGGTCAACACCAAGATTGGCATGGGTGCTTTAACATTGTCCTTGTCTTCTACCTGTCGTGCTTTCAGGGGTACTCCGGCGTTTGCTTTATTATCACCGATGTGCCTGAAAATGTGCTAAGCACACCAACAAACAACGCTGAAATAATATCCCAAATATTAGGCCAACATATTATGTTTTTTTTTTCCGAAGCTATTGAATATAAAATCTTCGTCCTCATTGTGTTTTTCAAAGTAAAAGTCTTTATTGGCAGCAATAAAAAAGTGATGCTGGCGGCAGACATTTGTCCACCCTTTGTACTGTAGATTTTCTTCCCAACTGAATAAAGCAGTTTTAAAATGTCAAACGACTGCTTTAGAAGCTCGTTCCAGCACCCCCGCAGCAGCACGAAACAAGTGCTCGGGTAGTAAATTTTTCTTACTGCCCGCTCGACTGGCAAGCCTGCCTGCCACTGACTTCACGGCATTGAATAGCGCGGGTGTATTTGAAACATTGGTTTTGGCACCATTTTTATTTGCCTATTCGACAATAACTATTCTAAATTTCGCCGACTAATTAGCATACTGGCAAGGGTAAGAACAGGGATTCAGAAAGTATAGTGAGCTGGGGTAGGTAAAAAAAAAAATTGAAGGAGTACGTCTTTAAAAGGCATTCTTTTTTGCTTTCAGTGTTGCGACTTATTTTGCTTTGTATTTAGAGAGCTCAGTGTCTGATAAATCCACAAAAATAAGAGTAAAATTGCTGCACGAGGTACGCAGGTGGATCAATCCACGTTCGAGACTTCCATGAGATACGCCGCGGTGGTGTGCGAACTTGAGGTCCGCGGTGTCCGCGTTGTCCGCGGTGTCCGCGGTGTCCGCCGTGTCCGCGGTGTCCACAGTGTCCGCGGCCGGCCGTGGTGCGATGGATGAAGCCGAAAATTCGACCTTCGTTGACATTCATTTATTACAATTACCCTCAGCCACAGGGGGCCCTCCGGTCATGCACAATAGCCATTAATTATTAAGTAAACAAAACTGCCGAGAGTAGGAGCGCTGATGACTATGTTGAAACCCGCATATTCAATGCTTCCGAATGGCGTTTTTTTTATTTCAGCTAATCGACGCTTTGTCATGGACTCTCCAACAAGTTGGACTGTGGCTGCGGGTTGCTGTTGGATCAACTTTTTTTACTTCGCCATCTTTCGATCTGCGGCCATTGTTTATGTGTCCATTCTAACTTCGCTCGACACGTCCAGGGCAGAAGCAGCATGGCCGATCACGGTGATGAGTGTTGTTTGCTGTGTAGCAGGTAAGAAACATTCTCATACGCTATCTGCTATTTCTAACAGCCCCGATGGGCGTCTGTGGTTTCAGCTGTAGCTTAGCAATTTAGCCAGTGCAGTACGACTGATAGCCTGGCGTCTTTAACGTGCATCACGAAGTAGTGATACACGACCGCACGCCGGTACGATGCTCATCCAGGTCGAAGCGAATATTGTCTCATTCGGTATTAACAACGATAGCCTCTGGATTCTTTGTTTTTACGAGGTCATAAAACAGTAGGTCTCCGACACTAAAAATAGATAGATTTGTAATGATTTATTCGTTTAAACAAATGCTGCGGCTCACAAATGTCAGCCATATCTTTCGTGGGCGCATAGAAACATAAGCTGTTTTTAGCGTTGCATATTATAATCGGGAGCACTATATCCCGACACCAGCAATCACGTCCACGCGAAGCATTTCGAAAGGGTCACAATTTCAAACTAACAAACCGATGCGATTGAACCCTATTATTTGGAAGGTGGCTCCTGTCAGTTATCGAGTGTATTTAATATCATCAGTAAACACTACTTATTGTATAAAACATTAGGGTTAAGCATTAGGGTTAAGCATTACTATAAGTAAAAAAAAGGAACAGGCACGCTAAACATTATTGCGTTTCATTCGTTAAGGCAGACGAACCATAACTGGTGCCTCCATTAACAAACCCGATCCCTCAATTCCAAATGCTGTAATAGCACTAAATATTATCTAAGTGCATGGAGCAGCTCTCACGCTCTTAGCAAACGTGATAATTTCATAAACGGACAAAAGTGAAGCATAAGGGCCCATCCACAATGTCATCATAAAGAAAATAAGATTACAATGCATTTCATATAAAATTGCTATACACATATCTCATCATGTCGCCGTAGAGTTTGCTTGATTGCGATGAATTAAAAAGATGCCAGTTTACGCGATTAACGGCATCTGGTTTCGCAGGCAGGACCCTCTTGCGAGAACCGTTCCACGCTGAATCACGTGATTAGGTTAGCTGCCGCGAATGCCACCAATTTAGTGTTGGCCGGAGAAATCTGCCCCTTCCCGTGATAGAAAAGCGCTTGCCCCTTTATTGGGCGCGTTATATCTGTAAACGCTTTTGCGCCGTGGAAAAGAGTATATTGATCAATGAAACAGTCACTCACTCAGGGGCGACTTTTCTACTTTTGACGTTGGCTTTTCCTTTTCACATTCTTGTAACATTGAATATGTTTATGGGCTGAATTACAGGCGAAAAGTGCTATACGCTCGAGTGTAACGGATGCAAGGCTATGGAACACCAAGCCTATATAACCGATAGCAAGCAAATGCATAAGCATACAGGGTATTCTCAGTCAAAATTTATCGTACTTAATTGTGATTAGTAAGATTTGATACGCGCCGCAGGCGGAATCGAACACTGTAAAGTGCTATCCGCACCCCCGAGCCTTTGATCGGCGCCACTGGAAGGAGGTGAAAGCAGTTGTGCTAAATAAGGCCCACAGAGGCTGAGGTGGCAGGCATCTGTCTCCGCCCGCAGCTGCCTCTGAAATAACGAAACGTAGCTCCCCACGTATTTCTAAGATGTCACGGGTCATTAATAAATTTAAACTTGTCTCGACCATTCTGGTAAAACCGGAGAAGCATATGCATTGCTAATCCGAAACCAACCAAAGCCTAACCAATAATGCACGCATTATAAGTTAGGCTTTGGAACTACATATATATTCGGATTAGCAAGCATATGCATTGCTAATCCGAAACCACCAAGCATAACCAGATAATGCACGCATAATGCATGCTCGACAGGTTCTCTGCTCCCCTGGTTTATCAGAATGATCGAGACAAACTTAAAATTTGTGTAATGTACATTCTATCTAAACTGTTAGTGTTTTTCAATTATATAGTTTCCGCTTACAGGGCCAGTGGTGGGGTGGCTGGCGAGTCGCATCGCAGTGTGGAAACTGACCGTCTCCGCGTGCCTGGTGGGATCCCTGGCCGTCTCTGCTTGCTTCTTGGCCAACGGGATCTGGTTCCTCATCGTGTCCATAGGAATCGTCCACGGTGGGTGTGGGCACGTGACGTTCCGATGAAAACACTGTTATTTCTATGTTTGCGTGGCTATTGAGCCTATCAAACAGTAGATGTGGTGACCGTGACTTATGTTATTGCTAATTTGTCGCGTTAGGCAGCATATATCAGGCGCACCACTGAGAGGGCTGAAAATTTTCACAAAAATGCAACCATGTGTGGACGTATGTTTCTTTTGATATCAGGCCAAGTATATAATACAAATTTCTGCGAGCGAATAAACAAGAAAAAGGAAAAGGAAAACAAGAGGAAGATACTACTTGCAAGTCTCTTTAAAACCAAAAGATGTAGAAAGGCGTACATTGAATACAAGGTTTTCACAGAAATGTTTCTCAGGTTATGAAATTTTTAAATAATAATGTAAACGAACTAGTCAGCACACTTAAGCTTAAGCAGCTTTTTCATTCTGTTATTTCATTTTATTTTAGGTGTCAGCATGGCCTTCACTATGCTTTGCAACACAGTCATCAGAGCCCACTTCACCCGTAACAGAGCGCTTGCCTGTGGCATAAACTACGCAGGACAGACCCTTTCGGGCCTAGTCTTTCCGCCACTGGTACAGTTCTTCCTTGAGAAATACGGCCAAAAAGGAATGTTCTTGGTGACCGGAGCCTTGATGCTGAACTCCACTGCGGGAGCACTGTTGCACCTCCTTCCACCGGAAACGCCCGGCAAGCCCGCATCAATCTTCGATGATGGCAAGAAGCTTGAGATGCCTCTCGATATAACGTGTTCAGATAAAATCGGTCTTCAAGACTGCACTGCTGATCCCACGGGATGTGCGTTGTCCGCCGAAGACAAAGGTTTATTGACACAAGATGATGGTTCTGACAAAAGCGAAACAGTCCAGGGGGTACGGGATCATCTAAGCCTTCAGCAGGCTATGTTGTCAGAGTCACAAAACATGGAAGATCCGCAAAATAAGAAGCAAAAAGAATGTTACAACAAGAAGTGTGTGAGTTCATACAATCGGCATGATGATGTGCGCGATGTACACGACGAGACGGCTACCTACAGTGTAAAGACTTTCAGCAATCGAAGCAAGATCACCTCGCCATCGTATCTCAGGCGTCCTCAGTTCTACATCGTCGCTCTAACGTGTTCGGTCATCGTTTTTAACATGTCCACGTACTCGGCCGTCATTGTTGACTTTGCAACCGACCGAAAGATCTCCAAATGGAATGCCGTCTTGCTTATCACAATCTACGCGATCTCCGACTTGGTGTCCAGGATGGGGTCAGGTTCCATCACAGACAAGGGATTCCTCAAGAAGAGCTCGATGATGGCTGGCAATCTTCTTCTCTGGGCAATTTCTCTGTGTGCAATGCCTTTCTGCTACTCGTTTTACCTTCATGCCATTCAAGCGGTCATCTTTGGGTTGTGCAGCGGCGCTACTTTTATTCTGATGCCAGTCTTGCTCATGGAGCTTGTGAACGCCAACAAGTTCAACGAGTGTTTAGGATTTGCGACTTTGATCGCAGGAATACCACTTCTTCCGAGGCCACTTCTGATTGGTAAACGGTTTTTATTGATTAATGAATGATGTCTGGAACGTGTCTTCCATTGGTGTGTTTAGCACCTCCTCAATTGTTGTCCCGCAATGTTCTTCTGATGATATCATAAAAGTGCCATGTTGCCGCCGGTCGCGATCCTGGCGGCTTAACAACACCCTGGGGGGGGGGGGGGGGGGGAGGAGGGGGGGGGGGGGCGTAGGGCGTATATGGCATTGGTCTTTCTACTTCGGGTCGCTGCCTAGCTTCGCAGTCCACTGATGCTCCAGCAGCCAAGAGTTGGGACATTGCGACGACCGTGACACTCACGTTCGCTTATTCATTTTACCGGGACTTCTAGACCGAACCACCAGGATCTTGACATCCGACAACATTACACGCTGGCTTCTGTGACGTCATTTGTTGTCACTTTGGGACTACTTGTGATTACTCTAAACACATCAATCTAAAACGCACTACAAGCACCCTAGTTGAAGGCATGGTTCACATATTTGAATATCAGTGTGCCTGAGTGCTTTACGTTTGCCTTTAACCGCTTTAAAAAAAAAAAAAAAAACACATGTCAGACTTGCGTTATCTATGCGAGCCCTGGAACTCTTTATATCTGCGTATATATTTCTAACGTTTTTTACGCATTATTTTTTGGGGGGCTTGAAATGTTTCTGACAATGTTATAAGCGACCATTTCTCTTAGATGTTCAACAGGTTTGACTTCGAAGCTACTGCAACCACCTTCAGTCTGCTGATACGGAGGTCGAATGCGTTTCGGCGTCACCTGACAGAGAGCGCCAGTGCGCCACTATGTTTTGTTTTACTTTGGCTAGGTGGCGCAAGCCGCCGCCCAATTGAAATGGTCCACCCGCATTTATCTATCTTATCATTCAATTTCTCGTTGCAAGCAATTACGAAAAAAAAACAAACAAAAAAAACAGGTACCCATTTGAGCACTCTTTCGCGCAAATGTACGAAGCAGCATTGAGTTTTCTTAGTTTTAGTTTTTTGTAGTATATGTCTCCATGCAAGTGCCTTTGTCGTGATTCTTCTTGTATGCGTTTTTATTTGAAATGTTTCAGGGACCCCTACCACTGTGCAAGTTAGTTAAGCCTTAGAGTTCAGCCTCAAACCGCATTCGGTAGCAGCTGAAGTTTGTGGGAGATTAAATTTTCTTGACTAAGTACTGCCACGAACAGTTTATATATGGGATTTCGCTGTTTCAGTAAATACTGATAAACCCCGATAAAAAAAAAACACAAACAAACAAACAACCCTGAGGTGGTTTTCTCCAAATCAGGGAAAACCGAAAATCCCCGATTCGGAGCTGCTCTTGAGTAGGGAAGAAATCAATAGGGTTTGGAAGAAGGAAAAAAAAAAAAAAAGCATTTTTACGTTTTACAGTTTTTGTTTTTTGTGTAAGCTTGAACACAATTTGTATTGACTCTCCTTGATGTTGCTTCTTTTTTTGAGACCCACGTTGCTTGAATTCTGCTCTCGGTAACGGGATGATCTTTTTCAAGTGTATGTGTCACGGGTGTAAGTTTGAAAGACCAGAACAGAAGATGAAACCGCGGGCGGGGGGGGGGGGGGGGGGGGGGAGGGGAGGGGATTTGGTGTTACAAGTTTATAAATATTCAGTGTTTTATAACATTAGCCCCAGTTTGTTGCCTGGCACTGATGACAGACACCGAAGAACACCGATTATAAAAACAAAAAGAAACCCCAAAGAAACGCCTCCGATTTAAAGAAGACTAAACCCTGAATACACGAAACTCTACTTATAAATGACTAGGGTAGTACGAAAACCCCTACATGTAAGTAGATATGAATTTCTTTAGTGAAAGTCCTTGAATGTTCTTATGGACGGAGAAATGCATTGATATAAGGCATATATACGCCTAAACAAGTGTGTTCTTTCTTGCTCCCTCGCTCCCTTCTACTGTTAGAAGCAGCCAGATTAGCGTTTCTTCTGTATGAATTCTGGCACAATTAATAAGTACTTTTTTTTTTCTTGCAGGCTACTTCAGGGACAGTCTAGGAGACTACCAAGGATTATTCGTACTCATGGGTGTGGTCACTGCGCTTAGTGCCTTCAGCTGCCTATTTCTGCGAGAGAATCATGGAGAGAGAACGAATCTTTTTTACGAAAAGATTCGCGCGTATTGTGACGGAAAAAGCGTCACAAGTGTCACAAAAACAAGTACCTAGGACAATAGCTGAGAGTGCTTGGACGGAAAAGCATCGGTGAAGGCCACCGCTGCAGTTAGTTGGCAAGAAATAAGGCATTTTTAAACAAACAACCAAGCTCCGTGAAAGCCAGAACGTAAGACCGGAATAAAAAGAGCGGGGCACTTACGCAACCTGTAAGTTGAAACACTGACAGCTGAGGCGTTACTTCAGAGCCGCTGAGTTGCCATTTCGGAGCAGATGGCCTGACTGAACGGTAAGGGTGCGAGCGAGCACCATAGAGGCCGCATAGTCATATGGTATTAAACCGAGTAACACACCGGATGAAACTTTGATAGCGTTTTTGAACTAATGAGGGTGTATTAAGTAGAGAGCATTTCATGAACCTGTTAAAGAATATTATTGGATACAAACTAGGACCGCCTTGTGGTAAATAAAGAGCACCAATCGCGCACTCAAGTTTCAAATCCAGGAACTGCTTGTGAATGCATGAATCGTTCCGGGTCGTTGGAGCTGCTGCCTGAACGTCTTATGCAATGTTAAAGTACGCAAACTAACACCGCCTTGTGGCCACTGAAGAGCACTTCCAAAATCGCGCACTCGAGTTTCAAGCGTGTAACTCCATCTAAATTTACGCCCGTGGATTCGCCGGCTTAACACCCACCTAGCTTTATTGGTTTCATTCCTCGAGAATTTTTCTGGCATAATTATCGAAAATGCTTTGCTTTCATTGTTTCCAGTAACAGCAGACTTCCCGTTTATGTTTTTGCGTGCCGTCATGGTGTCATGTGGCGACATATTGTCACGTGACGTCTGAATCTGACGTAACGTCACAGTGTCACGTGACGTCACGACATCACGTGACTCACGGTGTCGCCTGACGTCATTAAGTCGCGTGGCGTCGCTGTGCAACACGACTTGACATGACAACGTCACGTCATGGTGTCAGCTGACGCCAGCTAACACGTGACGTGGCGTGACGTGGTGCGCAGCGTGACGTCAGAGTGGTGTCGAGCGGCGTGACACCAGCGGAGTGACATCAATGTGGAATGTTTTGGCGGAGTGCCGAAAATGGTCCGCGTCGATATAAAGCGCTGTCGACGGCGCGAAACCCGCAAAGTGTCCCACTAAACTGCACACGCAGTAAAAAAAACTACAAGTTCATGTCTCACCCGTGTAATAACACTGTAAACATGGCAGAATATTACGGTTTTCAAGATGACGTATGTTCAGGCACTCTTTCCGGTCCCTTATATTTTGCCGTGTTTTATATGCGTGCTCGCAACGTATAGCGAACACGACCTATTTAGCCCAAACAATGGCGGATACAACCGGAGACACCGGCAGGGGAGAGCCGAGCGGCGAGCCACGGAGAAGCGCGGGACGCCTGGAAGCCAGAGGTTGGGAGCGGTCGCGAGCCAGACCGATTGCAACCTAGACAGTTAAATAAAGATATCCTTGAATTACTCCAAATTAACCGGTACATCACCCACTTGATGTAACGTTTATGACTACCGACACAGACACTCTGAATTTCCATTTTCAATATAATAACAGAATAAACTACATCGACATTGAGAAGTTTTAAATGCGACAGCCTTTCTATCAGCAGCCTTCCCCGCCACCCTCCCCCTGAAGAAGTCTGCTCTGATATACGACACAGATGCGCATGCGCCGAAGAAGGGTTGAAATTAAAACCTCAAATCTCCTAATTATGGGGAGGTGAATGCTTGAAAAGCCAACAGTATTATGTTTGACACACTCGAGTATGTTTTTACTTGTGGTCAATTTAAAAAAAATAAAACAAAAAAAAAAATGTTAATAGAGGTCCTTTTGATGTTTTTGAAAGACGGTCTCGTCCAAAGCGGATGGCGCAACATACCGCCAAGAACTTTCGCTTCCCCCAAAAGTAGGAGATCGGTTTTCTCAGTCAAGGGCAGAATTTATACTGTGCTTCCGTGATTGTTTTTTTCTTTTAATCTGTACCTCCTCTAACCCATTCCCCAACCCTGAACTGACTCGCCCAATTTTTAGGAGTGGCCAACTGTTCAGGTCTTTTCTTTCCAATAAAACGGTTACTACTACTACTAGAATCACGGAATTTACTTCTTGGTGACGCCTAAGGCCTGTAGGCGCAGTGATAGTGTCTCAAACTTGGGCGTAGCTTTTTAAATGCATTTAACAGTAGCAGAGCCTTCCTTAGTTGTATCGCTTATTGTACGTTTGTATTGTTAGTCTCGCAATCGTTTTTGTTCCCGCTAGTTCTGTATTGCTTTCTCTGATGCCGCAGCGTGGGATATTCTGAAAAGTGTCATCACTGACAAAGATGTGAGCGACATCGGCAACCTTTTCGAAAATTATGACGAGGATTGAAACCCCAACTTCGTTGAGCACGAGGACGTGGATGATGAAGTTGAGCTGTATGAATTTTTTGTGGCTTATCCATCGAATAATCCTCCCTAACAGGAAGAAATAAGAAAAACATGTGCTCAAAATCTCCCACTCCTATTTTCCATGAACGTTCAGTGAGTCAGACCATCTGAAAGGTCCTGTGATGCACATCAAAAGGATTCTCTCGGACGAAATGCTAAGAACCTTATTGAAGCATGCAAACCTCTACTGCACGCGAAAGTATGGAAGATAAGTGAGCACCACTCCTCTGGAACTTTAGCAATATGAGCTCCTCGCGAAAATAAGTTGTTTACACTAGGCTAACTTCGCCCTCGCATATCCGAAATGAGACCCACGGGGGTATCACGCGGATAGCCCGACATAACCATGCCCAAGCTTTGACCCGATGGAGACCACATTTGCTCTATTGGGATGGAGATGGAACTATTGGGGGGAAGGACAGATTGTGGCGCCCCAAGCGGTTAAGTTTAGAACTACACGGAGGGGGACAACAAAGACAATGACTCAGCGCTCGACCGACATAACCGAACGCGGTGTCAGCGTTCGGCTGGAGTTCGGGTTCTCAGGTGAGGGGAGGAGGGGCTCTTTTGTTACCACTCCGGCCTGCATGAACAATACAGCATGCACGGTGCCCAGCTCAGCACAAAAGCCGAAGTGGATCAAGCTCGCATTCTCTGACGACTGCTTTCGGAATAGATCCAGCACTTAACGTCACTTTGTGGATTCTTCGTATTTTTTACATTACACTGTGCCCCGCGCTCTATTGTAGAAGATGGGATGGACATGCCCATAAGGCCGGTGGGCATCTGCACAAGCCTTGTGTTGCGTAAACACCGAGGTGTGGGGAAACAAACGGGTCAGAGCGCCCCCTATTGGGCAGGAGATCGAACTATAGGGGGCGCTCTGACCCGTTTGGTGCCTAAAAGATGTTAGAGGAGCGCGGAAATAACTTGCCAACCTGACAAGTCAATACACCGAATATTTACGCTTTAAGAAAACGACTGTTGAACACACAAGTACTTGAAAAAGAAGCTGCACGTTAGTTCTATAATTTGCCCCTTTCAAGATGCCTTAGACTCCTGGTTGTAATGTAACGCATTAAAGGTATTGAAATCGAACGTAAATGCTACGATTTCAATAAATAGTAAATACGATTCATGTTCCAATTTATATGTTTCTTTTTTGTCTTTTTATGCGTTCTAAGTTGCAATGGGACTTCGGTAAATATAACTCAGCTGCATTTTTTTTTTATTTGTAATATATTTGATTAGTGTAACATATTTGATTAGTAACTTTCCGAAATTGCGCCGGTTGTCACTGAAACTAATGTTGATTCACTCTCTTCACGTCACTAACGTCGATTCACTCTCGCCAGGCGTTTTGAAGATTTCTGAAAAAGTACAAACACTGAACACGCCCTATCCTACGTATTGCAAACACGACCGGTCTTGTCTTAAGGCCCGTTCACACTCTTGCGACCGAGTACGACTGAGAGAGACGAGATCTCTTAAAACTTCTTAAATGTTTTTAGAATGAGGGAACACACTGGCATTGTGGCGCCATCTATGCGGTGACCCTGGAACTGCATTTCACAAGAGCGAAGGTTTTGCGGGATTTCCGAGGTCAAATGTGCGTAATACCCATAGAAAGGCTCGGTTATAACATTGACAAAAGTTTTTCGAGCCAAGGAAGAAAGGATAATGCGCGAGAAATAAAAAAAAAATATATGCCGGACCGCCGAGTTTACACTGCTTCCCAATAGATGGCGCCAGTGTGTTCTCTGGTTTAAGAAGTTTTAAGGAACCCAGGTTCAAGAGGTCGCAAGAGTGTGAACGGGCCTTTAGTCTCTGACCGACTAAGACAATACCGGTTTTTAGGCCTCTTAGGACGGCTTACGACCGGGTGCGCATTAATGCAGCTTGTCGTCAGCCGTCCTAAGAGACTTAAAAACCAATCTTGTTTTAGTCGGTCGGAGTCAAACGCAACTGTGTGAACGGGCTTTAAAGGTCCATACGCACATTCGCGTTTGAACGTGTTTGAGTGCGTTGCGGAGTCCTTGCGGCCAGGAGCGCTCGCTTACGGAGCAACGCGCGCCTTCCCGCAACGCTCGGTAGCGCGACGCAAGCGAGTAGAGACTCGCTCAACTTTCCGAAGCGTTGCGGTGCGTTCGGGTGCGTTCGACCAATCAGAAGCCGAAGAGGAGAGGGGGTGACGTGTTCGCTCGCCCCACCCGGCCGACTCGGCGAGACGTATCCGGTTCGCCGGTCGCAGTGCTTGCTTTTTCGTTTTGGGGAGCGGCGGGGACTGTATTTTCCAAGGACCAAGGCTGCGATGGTTCAAGCTTGACAAAACGTCGGGGAAGCCGGCGAGGTGGTCCCAAGATCGAATGCTTCGACGCTGTCGCTGTGCGCCGCCATGTTGCCTTGGATTTCGCTTACTATTGGTGAGCCACTAGCGACGCTAGCGCGTTCTTATTGGCTCTTGACTGCGGTTGACTGCGTGTCAACACAACTGTGCGTACAAGTTCGGCGCAAGCGCTCTTCGCAACGCAACGCGTCCGCTTGCCGCTACGGAACGCACCGCGCTCAAACGCGAATGTGCGTATGGGC